CTCTCCAGAGATGCGATCACCTGATGCTGGAGGGTCACTGCCATCACTGCCCCTATCTCTGCTTCCCGGTGCCCTGCTGTCCCTGCCTTGGGGAGCCCAGGGCTCATCTGGGCCACCGCAGCCTCAGTTTCCCCGATATCTGTTAAATGGTAGTCTTAAAGACCCTTGTAGCCCAGATTCCTGTGACTGGGCACAGTAGCCTCCCCAGTGTCCCTCTCCCACAACCCCTATGGACGGTCCCGTGGAAGGCCTACTGTATAAAAGTGCCCAGGGGGACACCGGCAGTGGGAGGAAGAGACACCACCGGATGGCTTCACCTGAGGATGTGCACCTAGCATCTACCTTGCTCAGACTTGCTGGACCCGCGGATGAGAGGCAGAGAATGGTTCAGGAACTTGCCCAAGATCACGAGCGTGCGTCGTACCGGGATTTGAACCCTGGGCGTTCTGGCTCTGGTGTGGTGCAGCCCACCAAAAGGAATTCTCCCCAATTCTGGGTCTGTTCACTAATCTATTGAACACCTACTGTGTGCCATGTCCTGTGCTGGGATCAGTACAACCCAGGCCCTGTTCTTGGTGAAGAGGTGGCCAGACGAGGTGAGATCAGTCTGGGGGCTGGGGCGGGGGAGCCCAGGTTCACCATGTACCCACATTTACAGACTAGAGAAATCCAGACCCACATTCCTGGGATGTAATCAGAGGCTGCCAAAGAGGAACAGAGAAGGTGCTGGGGCCAGAGCACCCTTGGAGGAACGAACAAAGAGTGGATTCCTGCTTCTGTGGACTTAGTGGCTGGTTGGGGGATGACAATCATAATGAAGTGTTACTACTGATAGAAATGAAGGCCAGAGTCCTGATAATGACCCTCAAGGCCTTCTGCTCTGTCCTCCCACCCCCCATACTTCTCCAACCTCCTCTCCTCTCCTGCTCTACCCGTCATCCTCGCTGTTCTTGGAACATTCCAGCCCAATTCTGCTAGCCAAGGACGTCTCTGCTCTCGGGGGGTGTGGGGGAAGCAGGCAGCAAACAGGTAAGCAAAGCGAGCACCAGGACAATGTCAGGTAGAGAGGAAATAGCTGTTGGGGCTCAGAAAACCATACCCCAAAATATGGTGCTTTGACAAGCTGAACTGAAGAAACGGCCTCGAGGTCTCTCTGACTGCCCGCCCCCCCTTCCCCAAGTACAGGAGGAGGCTGTTCTCTGAAGTTCCCCTGTCTACCTAGAAACTGGACCCCCAAAGAGAAACACAATTGCCTTTGCTCCCTTCTCCAAAATTTCATTAATGACAGAAGATTAAAATCCATATCACAGAGGAAGAGACTGAAACTTAAACACCACATCTAGGGCCCAGA